CCAGAATTCCCCAGCCAGCATGGCTGGCTGGGGAATTCTGGGAATTGAAGTCCACGCATCTTAGAGTTGTTAAGGTTGAGAAACACTGCTTTAAAGTATAGGAGGTTCTGACCATCATGATAAACCTCTATAACCAAGGAGAGTAAGGCCAGATTAATCCTTGGATGGGAGATCTCCAGAGTAGCTGGAGAAGTCAGAAAACATCCCAAAAGGAGGCAGTGCCCAATGACTTCCACATTGTTGCCCAAAAAACCCATAGATTTGGAGACTTCCCCCCCTTCAAAACTTGAAATAAGAAAAAATTTGATTGTGAGAGCAATTAAGGACAGTAGTGGAACAACCTGCTTCTTGGAGTCATGGGAGCTCTGTCCCTGGAGGTTTTCAAGAAAAGACCCATTTGTCTGAGATGCTCTGAGGATCCCTGCCCTAGGCAGGGGGTTGGACTAGGTGACCTCTAAGTTCCCTTCTACGATTGTTCGATTGTTATTGACTTGCAGATAGGACTGCCCAAAAAGGAGTTGGCCTCGTTGTAAAGTCGGAGCTTGGCAACCTCCGTCAGGGGCGCCTCAAATCTTACAAGATCTTGGCTCTGTCATCCAAGGGTGCCAGATTCTCATAAAATTTCATGCAAGAACGCTGAACTCTTGTGAGTTTGGGGAAGCTTGTCAACTCTCAACTCTGCTCTTTATTTAAGCCTGATCTTGTGATTGGATAGCATTTGGGATGTCAAGGGTATTCTGGCACCGATTATGTTTCCTGTTCTTCTTGAAAGAAGTATCGTCATCTAAGAAATGTTTGTTGCTCAGTGACTGTAATAAAGATGATCTTTCTTATCTAATAAGTCACTGCAATCAGGAGATGAATCTGGGGGTGGGAAGAAGAGTCTACCCATTTTATTTAGAATGTAGAAGAAGGATTGTTGGATAGCCAAGGTCTTTTTTCCAGCTGTGTGCCTTCTCTTAAATGTTTGTAAGATACTCTACTGCAACTGATCTAACCCTGGAAATGCCCTCTCTAGAGAACTCCAGAGCAAAGAATCAGGAGAAACAGCGATGAAAGAGCAACATTTTGCAGGACTGGAAACAGAAGAAGGATCAGAAGGAGCAGGAAAACCAACCAGTCTGGTTCAGCCTCTGCATATGACAGAGCTGCCACCATGTGGGGTGTCACAGAAAGTCAAAGTGGAGCCTTTGGTTGGGATGGAAGAGCACTGGGAAGCACAGTGGCAGGAGTTTCTGAAAACAATGCAGTCCACTCATAATGGAGCAGGACAAGCACTGATGCTGGAGGCTTCTCCCTGGGAAGACCCCAAGGCCTTCCTGGCTTCCTTCGAGCAGGTGGCCCAAGCCTGCCGGTGGCCCAGAGGAGAGTGGGCGGCCCGTCTCC